GGCGGGGGAGGAGACGGGGATGGACGGACCCAAATGGCATGGCAGACCTCTCTTGGCCTGCCCACTGCCAGCAGTGTATTTCAGAACATCTGCCTGTTCTGCTTTCCCACTGTCTCTGATGAATCCTTTCACCCACCTCCACCTCTGGTCTGTACCCCAGTTCTGAATGTATAAATAAATAAATCTTAAAAAAAAAAAAAAGACAAGAGTTAGGTAGGAAACTTGAGAGAAGTGGTAAAGTTTTGAATTACTTGTTGAAAGATAAGAATGAGATATAGTCCAGCCTAAAATGGAGACTATGGCCGTGGCAACCTATGAATGCAAATTTTAGCTGTAATGATTCTCAGGGAAAGAGAGGCTGAAAGGATCTACAGTGAGGATCATGTTGAACAAAAGGGAAGCCAAGCCAGACTCAGAGGGAGAGCATGGGAAGTACTAAGAACATTAAGTTGAAGCAGATTGTAGTAGGGGTAAAGAAGCTGGAAGGACAAGAAAAATAGAGAACACCCAATTGGGGTGAGGTATAGTTTGGGTACTGTTTCAGAGGGTGGTTTTGGGAGTAACTAGAAGAGCTATGGAGGTCATTATAGATGAAGCCTAGAAACATTAAAGTCAGAATGCTGGATAATGGCATGGTGCCTTAAGTCAGGATAATAGCTGGGTTTGGAAAACAAAGAAATCAGAAAGAGCGAGCTGGAAACCACAGTTATTAATGAATTAGAAGAGCAGAGGCTAGATGGCCAGTAAAGAAAAGAGGGTGGTCAAGTCAAACAATGAGCTACAAGAGGAACCATACGGAACAGATGGTCTGAGTGAGCACTGACAGCTTGCAAAATGACAACACTTTTGAGGCCCACGGGAAATGGATTATGAGAAAACTAGACTACAAGTAGCACAGAAATTAGGTATGAGGGGAAGCAAGTGTCCTATAAAAAGGCTGAGCTTAAAGGGGAGTTTATTAAGTACTGATCTGATGTCCAAGGGCATATTAAGAAGTGTTTGGAGGAATGAGGTGTACAGAAAACTAAGATAAAAACAAAGGGCTTGAGGCTAAGCCCACAGCCTAGCAAAAGGTCAAACAGAGGAACTAAAAAGTAACCCAAGATGATCCATTCATTACCCACCCCGGCTCTAACCATTATCACCATCCTTACAGATAGTAGACGATAGATATAGCAGGTCTTCTTCTGACCATCACGCCAGACTCGGGCCATAGCTTGTTCATCATTGGCTGGATTCCAGTCAGGGTCAAACATGACCAGTCGGTTAGCTCCAATGAGATTGAGGCCACAGCCTCCAGCTTTGCTGCTCAGCATGAAGACAAAGTCGGGGCTCTAAAAGAAAGGACAAAGAGAAGATGAACCTCTTACAGCTTGAAATGAAATCCTACTCAGCCCAGTGGGCTTTTCTCTTATAATCCATATTCTCATGTTAAGAACAGGTACAAAGACCACCAGTTTATCTGCCCACAGGCCAACCTGCCAGCCTCAGAACCAACTCCCTCTACAGTTTTTCGTCAACCCTTATTTGGTGTTACTACACTGGCAGTGTGGGGTCAGGGGCCATGTATTTACCATTGGATCATTGAAGCGCTCCACAACCTTGGCTCGTTTCTTAATGGACATCGTGCCATCCAAGCGAACATACAAGTACCTGAACGGGAATCCAAAGATCAAAAGCCAAGAAGTAGAATCCCTTGAAGCCAGAGCTACTGAAGGGACTAAACTAAAAATGTTTGAGGCTATTATGCAAAGCCTGAGACCCGAAACCCCGGAAGTGAGGAGCAATGAGATCAGGGTCAGGACTTTGACTGTGGGAGCACACGAAGGTCCAGTGGCTATTCTGCTTGAAGCTGGAGCTAGAGCCCTCACAGCCATAAGGGAACTGACATCAGCTGGGAAGTCTTGTGCTCACACCTTGACACACAGCCACCAACCAGACCACTTCTTCCTAGAGGGTCAGGAGGGAAGGTACCCCTCAAGCAGCCTGGTGAAGATTCTACCTTACCTTCGAACCCGACAGAGCTTCTCAAAGAGGTCCAACGTCTGGGTATAATTGGACACCAGTACTACTTTGTCACTGCTGTGGCTTCGGGTCACCGCCAGAATGTAATCAAGGACCAGCATCTTACCTGAGGGTATCAGTAACCATTAGCCCCCAGTGAGACATGCTAATGGCCTAGGTTCTTCTGGATATCCTGCCTTGAGACAGGAAAGCACAGAGAAACCCACAGACTAGAAGTGAAAAAGCTCACCTGACAGCTGGGGCTCTATAGCTTTAGAGCTATAACCCGGGGGAAATATGTCCAAGGCACCTTCAAAGCCACCCTCTTCCTCTACACACTTGTCATAGATGAGAGCTGGATCTGAAGGGGAGTAAAAAAGTCAGTAACATTGCTTCCAGAAGTTTCCATTTTAGTGCTCATTAGAACTCCCTCTTGAAGCCTACCCAGAAGACCTTCCTCGGCACCAACCTTGTTGGCCTCCACCACTCCAAATTCCAGTTTACAATCATAACTATCTTGGGCTATGAGTGGATAACCTTGCCCACTAGTGTGTTCTCCCAACAAGAAGGGAGGTATATGAGAGAGGACAAGGTTTGCTATTTTTCCTCCTGCCCAACATTTTACACACATGTATGTGCATGTGCACACTCTATACACCTGCCACAAGTATGGGCTGGGCAATGGGTAAGCTGAATTTCCCAAAATGTCTGGCTTACAGAGTATGCAATGCAAAACTCATGTTTTGGGGAGGGGTGGAATCCTATATGGCCTCTATGAGGACTTTGGACAAGTTAGTAAAGGTGGCCTACCCCTCCTTGCTCACTCTCACGGAGGACCCCAGGGCACATGACCAACTCACGATTACAAAGCTTCTTAAGTGAGGTGATGGAAGAAAGGGAAGACACACTCATTTTGCCCTCACGCAGCTCTTCTGCTGGCTTGGCCTGTCTCAGAAACCTCTTGTACAATTCAATCTGAAGGAGTGTCAGCCTGAAAAATAAAGGCAGCTGGATCTGTGGGAAAGGCTGGACCAACTGCAGTTCTGAGGAGACCATGAGAGCCATGCCTCGGGAACTGAGCTTTTATGCACTCGCTCCATATTACCGATTTGAGTTCAGTACCTACAACAAACCACCTGCTCGATCTTCACAGGTAGATATTTAGAAAGGATATCAGATGTCCTCCGTATCAGGCACCTGGGAAAAACAGGATAAAGAGGCAAGGTGCTGGTGAGATTGCCATGCTAATTAATAGTATGAAAGCTACTAGCCACATTCACAGACATCTTTATCAGGGTCTCAATCATGGAAAAGAAACCTTTTCCAACAGTCTAGGCTAGACTGACAACTTTTTTCCTTCAATAGGTTAGCTGGTCTTCAAGAAATGGTCATGGTCTTCATTGAGCCTGGTGCCTATAGGAAAAGCACTAAGCCCCTAGGGGTTCTGCTTGCATTTGCCCAGTGCCTGCTGCCACATGGCCCATGGCTCAAAATTAAGCCCAGAGTTCCTGGAAAACCGGTAAGGACAAGGGATCAAGCACCTAAACATGACTCTCCTTGCCATCTAAGGCTGGAAGGAAGAGGTACCAGTTAAGAAGGTTAGTACTCTTCAGAAAGTCAAATTTCTATAACAGAGAAATCTACGTAACCCCCGGGCTACGTGATCCACATGGGAAAAGAAGCCTTTTCAGCTGAGAGAGCATTAACCCTTAGATATAGTCCTACCTGTTACAGAAAGCTATGGGGTGTGGGAAGGGAAGCTGGTGCGTTAGATCTGAGCCTGACAACCGAATAGCTCCATAAGAAATAATACTTCAAAGGATACTTTGCTCAGGAAATCTCACCAGCACTGGAAAAGAGCTTCCTCAAGAGGTTCTAGTCAGGCCTCCCTGGTAGCATGGGGGCAAGGTCTCAGTGCTATCACTGTTATGACCTGAAATCGATCTCAGGCCAGGGAGGTGACCCACACAGCACAGCAGACCTCTCCTGTCTCATCCACTGCCCCCCACCCAGCATTGTATTTCAGTGGATCTGCCTGTTCTTGCTCCCCACTGTCTCATGAATCCTCTCATCCCCGGCACCTCTGACCTACACCCCAGTTCTTCTACACCCCCCAAAAAAAGGTTCTAAGCAGCTCAAACCTGGATCTCAGAGTCTAATCCAAGAAGAAAAGAGACCTGGCCTACAGACCACTTCATTTAATTCGAGGCTATAGTTTAGCAGATCCTTCTCCCTTCCTATACCCCATCTCTTAAGGCCCACAGACTGCTCAGTATCCCTCTCCCCACCAAAGTACTATCTTGGATGGCTTAAGACAATTCTGATCACCTAACTTGGGGGAACCCAAAGAGATAGTTCTGATGTCTAACCCAGCCCCCCCGCTCTGCAATACCTGTTCACAATGCTGATGAGTTCCCGTAGTCGCTCCTCTCCGAGCTGCCTGTCTGCCTCACTGGCAGCTGCATCTCTACCCTTCAAAATCGGCAACTCAAAATGTTTCTTGAACTCATGGGCAGTTCCTAAACATGGGAAAGAAGGGAAAAGGAAAGCATTAAAGAGTACAGAAAAGAAATCCTTTCCCCAGTTCCAGTAATGGAAGACTACTTCGTTACAGACCAACCTTCTAGCCAAAAACAAAGCCAAACAAATTATAGGCAATTTCTGTTTGTATGGATCAGAAACCTACCAAAGCAGGGAAGACCTGATTGGCCAAATAGTGAGGTAGTGGCACACAAATATGTATTTAAATGCAAATATAAATGGACCAGGTAATCCAGTTAAAACAGCCCCGTCAGGCTAGATTATTAAATTTACCTGTATACTGTTACGAGAGGAAGTAGTCTGTAAATCAATAGAACTGTAGTATGGATAAATCTTGAAAACACTAAGGATCGCATAGTATAATTTCATTTAAATGAAATATCCAGAACAGGTAAACCATAGACACAGAAATCAGGCTCGTGATTGCCACAGGTTAGGGAAAGGGAGGCTAGAGTTCTTCTGGGCAGGAATGGAAAAAAGGACCTGGTAGTTCACAGAAAAGGATTTCTAAGTGGCCTAGGAACATAGTAAATAATATTCAACTTATTCAATATTAAGCAAATGCAATGAGTTCTCACTAAATACCCATCAGAACAACCAAAGTTAACACAAAAGCAGGTTTTTGTTTTTTTTTTAAGGTGAGAATATAACGCAGAGAGCAGCAAACTACAGCCATGGGCCAGCCACCTTTCTGTAAATTAAGTTTTACTACAACACTGCCATGCCCACTCACTCACACATTATGTATGACTGCTTTCATAATGCAGCAAGAGTTGAGTAGCTGCAACAGAGACAGTACGGTCTACAAGCCTACTGGCCCTTTAAGAAAAAAAAAAAAATGTGCTAACTTCTGAAGACAGTGAAATTCTTATATTGCTGGTACAATCACTTCGGAAAATTAGAGTATATATTTAACTGGAACACATTCAGAACATATGACCCAGTAATTTCACTTTTAGGATAAAGAAATGTGTTGTTATACTTAAAGATATGTACAAGAATGTTCAAACTCTCATGATCCAAAGGAACAAAAACTGGAAGCAATTCAGTTGTCTCTAACAGAAGAACAGATACATCTGGTATGTTCATAAAATGAAACGGTCTACAAAAATAATGCAAACTACTACTACAGGAAACATGGATGAATCTCAAACATAATGTTGAATGAGAGGAATGCGATGCTAAGAATACTTTCTGTGTATACGCTCAATTTACATAAATCTCAAAAAGAAGCAAAATCAAGCTGTAGTGTGAGAGGAGTGTTTACTTATGGAGAAAAAGAAGGTAATGATTGGCGAGGAGATTGCTGAGCTAGGTTAGTCACTAATCAGGTGCTGGTTACACAAATGTGTTTACTTTGTGAAAATCTCGCCACTCAGCTGCTTCTCTGCCTGAAGAGATCCTCCTGAGCACTAACAAATGGGGCAATACCACTAAACCTTTCCACAAATATCTATTATTGAAACTGGTTGCCAGGGACTGAGGGGAATAGGGAATGGGATTACTGTTTAATGGATAGACTTTCAGTTTTACTGAATGAAAAGTTCTGGAAGCAGGTGGCGATGATGGTTACACAACATGGATATAAGTGAATTCACTAAACTGTACACTTAAAAAATGGTTAAAAGGCTCTCCCTTGTGGCGCAGTAGGTTAAAGCACAGCACTAAGAAGCTTAAGCCACTTCCGCATGAGTTCAATTCCCGCCTGCCCCGGAGGAGATCCACATGGCGAGGCAGACCTCTCCTTGCCTGCCCGCTGCTCCCCCCAGCAGTGTACTTCGTCGATCTGCCTGTTCTGCTCCCCGCTCTCTCTCTGGTGAATTCTCTCACCCTTCGCATCTCTGGCCTGTACCCCAGTTCTATATGAATAAATAAATAAATCTTGTTTTTAAAAAAAAAATGGTTAAAAAACAAAAATGCCCAAGACAGAATCAGCTCTGAACCCAAGTTCCTGTGATACAGAATGTGAGGAGCAAAAATGCCTGTGGATACCACCAGGGTGTCCACCATGCTCTGCGAAGTCCCGCACCATGCTCTGCGAAGTCCTTCTCCACCTCCCACAGTAGAAAAAGGGCCAGAAGGAGCTTCACTGAGTGTTCAGTAGAATCAAGGCTTTAATGGCTTTGTTAAAGGAAAAGAATACCCAGTGAACTACATATTACTAGTATTCTCTCCTTTCTATGATCAGCTAAAAGTTACAACCCTATGACCAAGGAAAGGCTCTTCTTCAATACAGTAGATAATGCCAGATTCTTACCCAGGATGCCTGAATTAACAAAATGTACCAAGCTGAAATACTCAAGGAGATCATTCTGGATGGGGGTCCCAGAGATAAGCACACGCCGACTGGTGTTCAAGCTGTCCAGGGCCTGGTAAGTCTGATTCTCAGAGTTCTTGAGCCTGTGTCCCTGCAAGGAAATGTCACTAAGGACATTAAAGTCTTGTGTAGACAGGAAAAGAAGAAATCATATGTATTAGAGGTCCTGATATGTTTGAGCAGGGGATGAGCAAGAGTGAGCCAAACCGCTTGTATGGGGAGAAAGATTAGGCTCAAGAGATGGACCTTCAGTTCCCAGGCAGAGTTTCAACCATAAGGCCAGCATTCCATATCCCCTCTTCCTCTTTCCCTTTTCCAACTTCCAGGGCCTTAGCAGCCTACTATCCCATCAGAGATCATGTCCAAGATGCATGGAGTCCTCCCTCCCCACCAGCCCAACCAATCCAAAACATCCTAAGCCAGATCCCTTCTGTATTCACCTGGAGGCCTTATATGGTCTGTCAGTGTTTAAAAAGAGTTGCCTCTTCCTCAAAATTCCTATGTTGCCTACCACCCATCTCCTGTCAATATCCTGTTATGTCCTTTAAGCTTTTTTCAACAGTAAAAGATCCTATAACTTCCTCTTCCACAAGAACCAAATGGGAAAGATCAGGCCTGTGCTTTCTCTACTCCCAGCTCCCATCTGGCACCACAGTAAATCAGCTTTTACAATTGCTCAGTCTTTTACAGTTGGTCAGGGAAACACAGACCCTACAATGCCTCTTCCTTCTATAGTATCATGACCAACCTCATTAGCTCAGCCCTTCTCAGTAAGAGCCCCAGTTAACTTCACCAACACTGTCCATAGCTTGTCATGGTCCAGAAATTCACAATTCCTCACCACTCCTAGTGCTGGACTCCCTTAGGTTTCTTTGCTCATATCACTTCACGGGACTCCAGACTCAGCTCAGAAAACAGGAGTGAGTGGATAAGGAAAACACCACAGATCAGAAGAAAATATAGCTACCCTCCCCATCTAGCAGGTAGCAGTGAGCCTTCCTCTCCCAGCGACCCACTGTTACCTCCACTTAATTCTCACAAAAATCTCATTAGGCAGTTAGTATCATTCCATCTTACTGACAGCTTCCTCTGAGTGAGGAAGATAGGTGGTGATTAAGTAACTTGTCCAGTCATACTTAAGTGATAGAGCCAAGATGTGAATAACAAACTGTAAAATCTATATATAGTCCCCTTAAAATGTACCAGGTCTCTTCACCCATACAAATCCCTCCCACCTTTAAGGTTCCTTCTTTGGTGTAGGAATTCTGTCTGGTGGCAAGAAAACCAATCAGCTCATAGTGCTTCACCTTCCTCAGAGCTCCAAGCATTGCTTAATCCCTCTTTTGGCAGGCTGGTGCCATTAGCTCTTCCTCTCACTTGCCTCCTCAGGGATTGCACCACAGTGATCTGGCACAGTCTTTGGATGGTTGCTCCCCTTGAGGAGTCTTTGACATTTTCTACCACTATCCAGACTGCTAACAGTTAAGTACCTCATCACATATGACTAGGCCGACGCTCCCTTTCTGGAGAACTGCAACATGAAGGCGAAGTGTCTCATAGGAAATGATGAGGATGGGAGAAGGTACTCTGGCTCCACGCTGGTTCATGAATCCTTCTACAAGAGAAAAGGTGTCCGGAACAAATCTTAGAATATCTTAAAGAAACAGTCAATCTGACAATTCTGTAATCTAGCCTAGGCCAGTTATTTCAACTATTTTCCATAGGAAGCCCCTCAACCTCACCATGCATTGCTCTCAAACCTGACCATCAGGGAGCAAACACTTAAACAGCAGGTTGTGTGGAAGAGTGTCCTATCTTTGTTAAAGCTCCATTCCAGGGGCCTCCCTGGTGGTGCACGGGGTTAACGCCCAGCACTGAAGCAAGCTATTGCAGCCACTGCAGCATGAGTCCGATCCCTGGACAGGGAGGTGACCCACATGGCACAGCAGACCTCTTCTGACTTGCCTGCTGCTCCCCTCAGCAGTGTATTTCAGTCACACTGCCAGTTCTGCTCCCCAATCAGTTTCTGGTGAATCCTCTCATCCTCTACCCTGTGCCTCTGGCCTGCACCCCAGTTCTTTATGCATAAATAAATAAATTTTAAAAATAAAAAAAGATCCATACCCAGCTTTTGGTCTATCTCATCCTTAGAGCCTCCATCAATGGCCAGAGGTTGAATCCTCCCTCCAAGCCATTTTGCAACTTCATTGTACCAGTTCTTCACTAGGCTGGAGGGCGATACCACCACTGCCTTGTCAATTTCTGGCTTGCACTCTGGACTCTGGCGCAAAAGTGTCCACATCAGTGTGATGCACTGCAATGTCTTGCCCAGGCCCATCTCATCAGCCATGATGCAGCCATGACTGCCAGGGATGCGCCGACTGGTGACGCACTCCCACAGGAACTTCACTCCCTGGGAAGTAACACACAGACCACTTTGGCATCCATTTTGCAGAAATGACAGCCTTCCCCTAGGCTGAGGGGCTCATTCCCCAACTCAAATTACCTCTCTCTGATGAGGTCGCAAGACCTTACTGAGAATAGGATCAACAACCACATGGACAGGGAGTTTTTCCCTGAGAAAACACAGCAAAGAAAATATTGTGCTCAGACATGGTTAAGGGTATGCCCTCAGAAAGTTGCCCTGCTGACAAAGGCCAGAAGAAGCTGCCTAAGAGAGAAGATTCTTTATCTTGGCCTGTAAAAACCCATAAAAGGCTGTCCCTGGTGGCGCAGTGGGTTAAAGTGCAGCACTGCAAACTAGCCAGTCACTTCAGTGCAAGTTCAATCCCCAGCCCTGGAGGTGACCCACATGGCATGGCAGACCACTCCTGTTTCACCCACTGCTCCCCTCAGCAGTGTACTTCATCAGTCTGCCTATTCTCTCCCCACTCTGTCTCTGGTGAATCCTCTCACCACCCCTGCACCTCTGGCCTATACCCCAGTTCTGTATGCATAAATAAATCTTTAAAAAATAATAAATTAATTAAATAAATAAACCATAACAAATTCCTGTTCCAGGGGCTAGGAGACAGGAATGGGTTCTCTTATGTCTCCACCTCAACTCTCATCCCCCAAGTGAGCTTGGCAAGAAGTGGTACAGAACCCTCAACAACTGGACATGACCACCTGTTTTCCCCAGGGTCTCAACAGATTGTGTGGTTGTAATGACAGCACTATGAAAACATGCCAATCCCACAGGGAAATCCGATAAAATGCCCCCTCGCCCCCCCCACCCCCACCCTGTATGTGCACTTACAGGGGGCAGAACTGCTCAAAAAATGGCAACAAACATACTTGTCAAGTTTCAGTTGGTCATGAGCACTCAGTGGAGGAGGCTCATACAGTACCAAGGCACCTTCTTCCAGGGGATCATGGAGGGCTCGGCGAATTCCGGCTCTTTTGAGGCCCAATGCCCGAAAGCCCAGAGGACCTAGAAACCAACAATTTGTCGACTGAGCCTTTATGTTGAGGTGCTCAAATGGGCCCAGTTCAAATGTCCATCTTTTACATAATTTCCCTAATTCTCCCAGGCCCTCTCCCAGACCAGTTTGTGAACCTCAACCCAATCATCATCCCAGCCTACTTCAGATTAGAGCTTTTACCATATTCTCCCACTCAACTATAAACTGGAGGGTGGGGTCTTGTTCATCACAAGTTAGTCCCAAAAAGGCTTGAAATCCTATTGGGGTCTCTGAGTCTGAGAACTCTTGAAAGTGGGACTCCTTTCTCCTTAGTCCCAGTTTTAGTACAATGTTATTATGCCCATGTAGAATAGGGGAAAACTTGATAGTAACTAGGCTTCCAACATAATCAACCTCATAAAGGAGATGGCACAAAGCCCACTTGGACTAAATGAAATCTAGACCCACCACTTTGGTGCATGAGGGGCTTCCTGAACACTGGCACAAGATGATGTGTTTGTCTTGGCAGCCTTTGCTGAAGCTACCATCTGGGTCTGAGGAGGCTCATTCCATACACTGTCACCACTGAACCAAACCAATTGGAAGCCAAACTTGGATGTACAAAGTAGAAATATCGAATCTATTCAGGAACAATCACATATGACTGACTCAAAAAAAAAAATTTAAAAAGTCTCCCTCTTTACCTTGATAATTTGGAATGGGGATTTTGAAAGGCTTTGACAAAATGCTCCGAATAAATGCTTCCTAAAAATAAAGAAAAAACAAGGGATTTAGGACCAACTGTCTATGTATGTCAGATGCAATCTAAGCCTCTTGCATTGCAGACCCTGTCTAAAATGCCTATCTAATCATTGTAATCCATTGTGAGCATATTTTGATTGTGACTCATTCTAATGCTTCCAGAATATAAGGAGATATGCCTCTTATTAGATTATTAGATTTTGTATAAAGACTCTATCTTTGAGACTTTAGACGTGGTTCCATAAATACCTTGGGAAAGCAGTGTCACGAGCAAGTCTCAGTCAACCAGAGGCTCAGAGTCATTAACCAGCTCATAAAAGACCATGTCAGGAAAGATGCCAGCTTATTCCCTGAGTACAGTACCTTAAGAGGACAGAACCAATTGGATCCAACCCCAGTACTAACAGGTAACTCCAAGGCCCAGGTTCAACCGTTGTCCTATAGAGCTACGTCTTCCCATGTACACTTCACAATTTTGTCCTATCAGTTCAGACTGAATTCCCAATTCAGTCTCCTCAGAAACTAAGTTCTGGGGCCTCCCTGGTAGTGCAAGGGGTTAATTCTCAGCACTATGAAGCTAGTAGCAGCCACTACAGCACCAGTTCTATCTCCGACCAGGGAGCTAATCCACATGCCGCAAGCACTGCTCCCCTCAGCAGTCTATTTCAGTACATCTGCCTGTTCTGCTCCCACTGTTTCTGATGAATCGTCTCACCGCCCCTCACCTCTAGCCTACAGCCCAGATGTTGTACACATAAACAGATCTTTTATATATATATATATATATATAAAGCAAAAAGAAACTAAATCCTTAAGAGAGTAGTTAGTAGGAGCAATAAGAGCAATATTATTAGTAAAATACTGTTAATAACAGCAAATATGACAATAATGATGAACAGTGTATTTCAGATGCAATGCTAAGCCTTGATTCATTACCATTTAATTTTCAGTCATATCGATACCACAATTTCAGGTTTTCAAGCCTCGTCTCCTAGCCAGGAATGGATTCCAGGCTGCAGTGGCAGCGCTGAGCCCCAGCCACTAGACCACCACGGGCTGGTGCCTCACGAAGCTACAGTGGGAGCTGTGTAGACCTTCAGGCAAGCAAGTGAGAAAAGGCAAATTTGTTTAGAGAAAGGAGAAATTTATTAAGGAGGAAAGGAACAGAAATAAAGTGGGACTCCCAGGCCTGTGGAAACAGGCCAGAGAGGGACAGGACAAGAAGTCGTGCCTAAGGAAATATATATCTTCTTTTCCTAATTATTCCCAAGTTCCACCAATCTGTTTTCCTGGTGGTCTCACTCACTGCCTCAATGTCTCTGTGCCCAGAACTAAGTCTCATGTGTTCCAGCCTTTACCCTTTTTCTTTATTGTCCTTGTCCAGGAATGTCCTGTTGCCCCTACTCCTGGGATGTTTGATTAGCTCCCTTTGGAATTTGTTTCCCTTATCTCTGAAGTCCTCCTTATTCCTCTGAAGCTTTTCTGACCCTAAGGGCTTTCTGCTTGCCCTCTGACTCACTATGAGACTCAGGCCAGAGATAGCTTTTGTGAGTTTTTCATCGTTGCTATTCACAATTATATTGTTATGTTTAATGCCTGAATAATATATATTATCATTTTAGGAATGAGACAACTGAAAGGTTAACTCACTTTCTCAAGCCACACAGCGACATCTGTAGGACTTGTACCCAGTGGTAAGACATTCTCTTAAACCAAGCTATTTGAGTATGGCCATGTGGACCAGCTCAGAGTCAACAGCTTCCTTCTGACGGAGAGCTCTGAGAGGAAACAAGTGGAAAAGGGGAACAAGAGAGGGCAAGCCTGATCACCAAGAAAAAGCAAGTGAGGGCCTCCCTGGTGGCCTAGGAGTTAAGTCTTAGCACTATTACTGCTATGGCCTGAGTTGGATCCCTGCCTCACCTGCAGCTCCCCTCAGAAGTGTAATTCACAGTCGGCCTGTTCTGCTTGCCAACTCTGGTGAACCCTCTCAGGTTCCACACCTCTAGTTGACCCCTGTTCTTCTACACAAAAGTCAATTTAAAAAAAGCAAGTGGAGGGCTCTGCCTGGTGGCGCAACGGGTTAAAGCACTGCATTGTGAAGCTCTCCGAAGCTACTACAGCATGAGTTCGAACCCCAGCCAAGGAACTGACCCACATGGCGTGGCGTGGCAGATCTCTCCTGACTCGCCCACTGCTCCCCTCAGCAGTACATTTCAGTCAGTCTGTCTGTTCTGCTCCCCACTCTGTCTCTGGTGAATTTTCTCACCCACCACACCTCTGGCCTGTACCCCAGTTCTGTGAGCATACATAAATAAATCTTTAAAAAAAAAAAGCAAGTGGAATAAGGGTGACAGGAAACAGATACATTTGGTCCCAGAGAAGGGTGGCCTTGGTGCCTCTACCTCAGGGTCTGCAGGAGCCTCTGTATCGTCGCTTCAGCCAGCGATCAGGACTGAGCATTGGAGCAAAAGGAGGCAGGAGAGCTTGGCTCCAGAGCCAACAATTCCATCAAAGTGCTGGTCTGCCATACACACCTGATCCACTGGGAAATTATATACTCTATGAGCCTCAACAAAAGAAGAACTGGACCCCCAAGCATACGAGGAAAAAAAGAGCAGAAACCCTAAAGGTAATTTTAATGGCAATCCATTAGTGGAGGAAGATGTAATAAAGAAACTTCCTTCTAGCAAAAGTCAATTTAACAGGAAAAAAAGCAAACACATCTTGTCCTGAAATTTTTACTTTTACACTTTGATCACTATGAATTTCAAAACAGGGAAAAAGTAAGGAATATATTTGGCAACTACTGGAAGACAGTAACGGAATGTAGAGAACTGGACCCATCAAACTAAATAACAAAAGCAAATGCTTTCTTTGCATATCATTTTGCACTTGAAGATTTCTATTGACATGGTTAATTACTGTGATTATTATGCTAGCACAGATGAGAAACCTGTATAAAAGATACTAACAAAAAGCTACCCTTAAGTTAAATGAGAGGAAAAGAAGGGGCTCTACATTTCTAATTTCACATCAACTTTGCACTGAAATATTTTCAAGATTATCAATGTGGTAGGCTACTTTTTAAGGCTGTAGTCAAGAATGTGTGTTCTGGGGGCCTCCATGGTGGTACAAAGGGTTAAGTCTTGGCACTGAGCAGGAGCCACTGCTCATGGAGTTCAATTCCTGGCCAATGAGACCTGGCACAGCAGACCTGTCTCTCTGTTTGCTCTCCTCAGCAGCGTATTTCAGACAATTCTACTGTTCTGCTCCCTATTGCCTCTGGTGACCCCTGCACCTCTGGCCTAAACACACAGTTCTTGTATGCAATAAATAAATCTCTTAAAAGCAATTCCTTCAATAAAACCCAAGAGCCATCGGTTGTGCCGGAAGAACTGCAGGGCTGTGCTACTAGCATGAGACCATGAGGACCCTGACCAAAACAGCCAGCAAGATTCGCCAAGGTCAGCCTCCAGGATCTGACTGAGGATCATCACCAGAGGCAGAGAGACAGCATGCTCTCATGCTGTTCACTTAGTTCCTGAAAACGGATACCATTGTTCTAACAGAAGAGGGAAGCCTCTCTCCTCTCCACCCAAGGTCAAACATTCCCTTTTCCATTTAGATTCACTGCTAAATTCTTTATCTTAAAAACAAGCGTTTTCTTACCTCCTCCCTTTCAAAGGTTAGGAAGAGTGGTTATTCTCCCTTCCTTATCTTCCATTCCTTCTAACCTATCTTCTGCCGCTTCTACTCCCCTAAAATTATCAATGACCAATGTGACTCTAATTTAAAATTGGCTATTTCTGCCCTTATCTTGGAAGACAAAGCCAGCCACTCCTCAAATATTTTCTGCTTTTCACTTCCATGACACCAACCTCTCATTATTCTGCTCCGGTGCTGAGCCCCCTATAGTGGGCCCTTCTTCTGCCTAACACCCTTAATCATCAAGTTTCTTCAAGAACCAGCTCTTCTGAGGCACCTTCACCTCAACGCCCTACTATAAACTTAGTAGGCATCAAATACTTCACCCCAAATCTACTTCCAGTCCTTACTTTCCTTCTTGTCTTCCACACTCATATTTGCAACCACTTCCAGCCCTCAACATCCTGGAGGACTTCAGACTCATCAGTCCAAGGCTAAAGTCCTTTCCCTCTGACTTTGATGGGCCCTCACCAGGCACACTTTGGGCGCATTCCTCCATGTCTTTCACACACAAGTTGTTCCCTCTTCAGTAGAGCATTTCCCACTCTCTGGCTGGCTCCTCATAGCCTTCAGGACATTACCTAATCAGACCCTCAGATACAGGTATTCACCAACCTCCAAACTGTCAGGGAAGGGAAAAGGGAGCATGGATTTGATAATGCATGTCATGGTACTAGACGTGGGTCACAAGTGTTTACTTTCGTTTTATAGCTTATATTGAAGACACACATATTTTTATGTTTATCAAATTGTGAAAAAAAGGTTTGTAAATGTTTGTTGAAGTACCAGTAAGTAACCTCCTACACTATTTCCCATAAGACTGACCTTCCCTACCTAGGCCTCCCTGGTGGCCCAAGGAGTTAAGTTTCAGCTCTTCTCAGCACTATGAAGCACTACAGCCACTGCAGCACCAGTTCGAATTTGGCCAGGGAGCTGACTCACATGGCTTAGCAGACCTCTGCTGTCTCGCCTACTGATCTCCTCAGCAGTGTATCTGAGTTGATCTACCTGTTCCACTCTCCCCTGTCTGGTGAATCCTTTCACCTTTCTCACCTCTGGTGCACATAAATAAATAAAATGTATCTTAAAAAAACCTGGCACTCCCTGGTGGCGCAACAGCACTGTGAGCTTATAACCACAGCCACTGCAGCACAAATTTGATCCCAAGGTGACCCAAATGGCTGTAGACCTCTCCTGTTCCGCCTACTGCATCCCTCAACAGTGTATTTCAGCCAGTCTGTCCCCACTGTGTCTGGTGAATCCTCTCACTTCACAGCCCCGCAACTCTGGCCTGTACCTAGTTCTTGTATACATAAATAATCATTGTTTAAAAAAATTACCTTCTCTCCTTCAGAAGTTAATTCTGAGTCCAGTTTACCTGTGCTGATCTGCAGGCTAAAATTTGGATCACTCTCCCTGGGTTCAACTTATTTGCTAGAGCAAATACTGGAAAAGAGTCTACTTACTAAATTAATGGTTATCACAAAGGATATTAAAAGATATGAATGAACAGTCAGGTGAAGAGATACACACAGAACAAAGTCCAGAAGGGTCCTGAGCACAGACACTCTGTCCCAGCTGAATTTAGGGCACACCATCTTCCCAGATGTGTTCCTATTCACCAACCCAGCTCTCCAAACCTCAGCTTTTTGGATTTTTAAAAAAAATATTTATTTATTTATGCATACAGAACTGGGGTACAGACCAGAGGTGCAGGGGTGGTGAGAGGATTCACCAGAGACGGAATGGGGAGCAGAACAGGCAGACTGACAAAATACACTACTGAGGGGAGCAGTGAGCGGGTGAGACAGGAGAGGTCTGCTGCACCATGTGGTCACCTGGTGGGGGGGGGGATCGAAACCAGCTTTTTGGATTTTTAAGGTTTCATTACATAATAATGACAGATTAAATCACAGACCACAGGTGACCTAGCTCAACCTCCAGCTCAACCTCCCTTTCCCCTCAGGTCAGGGGTAGGACTGAAAGTTCAACCTTCAAATCACTGGGTTGGCTTGCCAGGCAACCAGCCCACCAGGTGAGGTGCTTTTACCCAGCAACCAGCCCACGGGGTCATTCATTAACAAAACCCAGGTTGCTTGAAAGGGCTGGTTATGAATAACAAAAGACAATTTTATACCTCTTATCCCTTAAATTCAGAATCCTGCCGCCCTCAGAAAATGTTGGTGAAAATGTTACAGGGGAGCTAGACAGATCTGACTTTAACTGGGCAAATTACTTAACCAAAGACTTAATTTTCCTCATCTTGAAAAAGTGAAAATTACATGAGATAATGCATAAAACATACTGTCATCATGGTTAAATTTGATTTTATTAGAACCTATATGTGAAAAACTACAGAACTCTAGTAATCCTGAAAGCCAGATGTAGAACCAGAGTTGGATGGCACTAGGACCCAGTCCCAGCACCCTGCTGTTAAAAATAGAATTAATAGGTCCACAGTGGAGCCCTTCAAGTCAAGCCTCCACCCAATACAAATTGTCGTTTCAACCTCTTCCAAAAACAGAAGCCAAAACCAATCTAAAGTTCCTAATCAGGGCCATTGGGGTAATATGCACATCAGAGCCCCTTCTTCCCCAGGGAAGGTGGCTTTACCTGAGATCTTTCACTAAAAACCCTGTCTCACTTATTTAAAAAATGTTTTTAGATTTATTTTTATTTATTTATGTTACAAGAACTGGGGTGTAGGCCAGAGGTGTGTGGAGGGGTGAAAGGATTTACCAGAGACAGAATGGGAACAGGCAGATCTACTGAAATACACTGCTGAGGGAAGCAGTGGGTGAAACTGGAGAGGTCTGTTGTGCCCTGTGGGCTAGCTTCCTGCCACCCTAGCTAAGGCTGCTGATAACTTTTTGATGTTGAGACTTAACCCCTTAAGCCACCAGGGAGACCTCCTTGTCTCACTCTTTTAGTTTATAATTCTGTCTACTTATTGTAATCCCTAGCAGTATCTGGAAAGGGAGGTCGCTCAATTCATTAAGTGTTTAATAAAGTGAATTAGATCTCTAAGTACACTATGTTTTTTAACACAACATGGTCTTCCTCTGCTATATGCTTCTATCTTCAGGAATCTAAACTACTAAATCTGATGCTCACCCTGTGGGCTGGCAAGCCAATCCTGTGATTTGATGTTGAACTTTCAGTCCCATCCCTGACCTGAGGAAGAGAGGGCAGGGCTGTAGGTTGAGCTAGGTCACCTAGGTCAGTGATTTAATCTGCCATTATCAAGTTTTAAATAAGGAACTTCAAGTCAGGTACACATACAAGGAAAGAGGTCAGACTTCATCCAGGTACCAAGAGCTATGGGTAGGCCCCACCAAAGTCTGCTGCTGACCATTCTGTACAGCAGTGGGGGAGAGGAGAGGGAAAGACACCCTAAACAAAACTAGGTGCACACACAGCAACAAGCTGCAGTTCTGACTTACATGTTGACTGCTGTCCAAACAGGGTGGTTGATTTGTTAGTTGAGTCAAAGGTTTCCGGAAAGAAGATGGCAAACACTCCTGGTTCTGGGCCTCACTGCTGGATTTCCGTTTCTTAGGCGTCTAGAAAAAGAGCATTCAGGAAGATGAAGTCTAGAAAACCAAAGTTCACCACAAGGCAACTAAAATGTGAAATGTTTAAGTGTCAGGCACTGTGCTACACTGTTGACAGGAATGAGCATGTATCATCTTCACAGTAATCCTATGATAAAGGCTTATTTATTAGTACCCTTATTTAATAGGTAAGAAAACAGAAACAATGTGGTTAAATAACTTGCCTAATGTGAGGAGGGTTACCAGAAGTTGAATGAACTATGACTGTGAATGGCAAATCCACCACTAATATGGAGTCATGCCACTCTCAATTCTTTACTCCAAAGCCCCAAGAAATGATTGAGTAATTATTTGATTCCCTCCCATTTGCTTCCCTTTTCCAGAGGAACAAGAACATAGGCCCTCAACTCCCAGGCCACTGGGACTACTCTTAAATCAGTAAGGCACTGAGTGCATTCAGCAGTAGCCAGCAGATGGTACTATTTATGACCCAGCTACACCAAGTTCAAGTCTGAGACGCGCTTAAGTGGCAACAGGCAACCAATGCACCTTCCTCACAGGTAGAGGAATCCCTACGTATCAGCGGAGCATTTGTAAGGTACAAACTGAGAGGTATCCCAGGACTCTCAAACATGCACATACTAATGGGGTTTGGCCATCACTGCACAAAGGCAAATCATACTTGGTGTGAAAGAACTTTAAAAGACTAGTCTGTACAAAGGGCGTCAAAACGGTCCTCCCGGTGGGGAAACGGGTTAAAGCACAGCACCATGAGGCCGGTGGAGAAACGGGTTAAAGCACAGCACCATGAGGCTATGGCGGCCACTGCAGCACAAGTTCAATCCCCAGCCTGGAGGTGACTCACATGGTGCGGCAGACCTCTCCTGACCCACCCACAGCTCCCCTTAGCAGTGTACTTTGTCAATCTGCCTGTTC